ATCACACGCAGTCACTCTTTTATTCTTTAACCCTGAGAAGGAATAACATTTCAGAGTACATAATAAAATTGACAACAATCTTCCGGTCTCCAGAGCCTGACTGTTGCTCATGATAATCATTAAAACAGGCAATGGGAAATTCCAGCAGCACAGGAAAACGTAGGCAAGCCCAAAGCCAGCTCCCCACCCACCACGTGCCACCTCTGCAAATAGGTGGCGTGACTTGTGCACAGGCAGGGAAAAGAAAGGAAGCACGGACAGAGTACACTATGCTTTAGTGAGAAGCAGATAAGGACAAGTTTGGATAGCTTTAACAGCCATAAACCTTACAAAAGCAAACTAACTTTAAAACCAGGCCAGCCTTCAGTCTCATAAGCGCGCAAAGTTTCCTACGGTGCACCTGAAGACCGAGATCTTCCTCCAGAACTTGGCTGCCACCACAGCACATTTTATAGCATGAAGGTCAGGATGTTCCCCCCAGGTAGCAAAGGCCACTTTTTCCCCCACTGCCTCGAGCAGAGAGGGTGAATTACACCAGCAGTAAATCACATAAATGCTACTTGCCGTTGTTCACAAATCCCTAGAAAATTACTTCTAAATCAAGGCAATTTACTTCAACAGCTAACACCTTAAAGTAGAAAGCTGTGGTCATATTTTGATACACGCTATCATGTCCCTGAACTCTTCCCTTGGACTAATTATTGGACAGCTGTCTAAACGATGCCTCATTTTGTTTATAGGTTTCTTTCAGATAAGATCAGAAATAATCACGCAGTTTCAGTACAGGCTGTTGCATCACAAGAACTTTATTCAAGAAGACAGATCATGATTTCTGCTCATAAACTCACTCATCAGCTTTCTACTAGCAAAGGTAAAAGGACCGCATAGTTACATAGATAGAACGTTTAAAGAAGCGACAGAAGATTGCCTGGGTGTGTATGAGGAAGAGCAAGGTGACATTTCTCAGCTCAGGGTGCTCTCAGGATTTCTCAAAGACAGGGAGAATGGTGTTGCCCCCCGCCAACCATGAGTAGCAGCAGCCAGTTAGCATAAGATTATTTTTGAAAGCCAAAGGCACATAGGATAAAAACTAGAAGAAACCATCGGTGACTAAGCTGCAAAAACTTTGCCAGATACATAAGGAGATATTTCCTTCTTGGCAGAGTGGCTTCCATTCATCTGCTAAGTGCTTTTGGCCAACTATTCCAGAACTGCTGGCGTCTCCTCTAGCTGGCGCCCGCCCCAGCCTGTACCACCATTTATTCCATGCCCAGCAGAATTACCTGTGCTACTCAGCCAGCGCTAGGTGTTGGCGAACCAAGTGGAAAAGATGCCAAACAGATTGGTCCCTTTAATATAACATGCAAATGTTGCACCCACGTAGCCCACAGAAGCTTTTAAACTGGTGTCATACCCAGCAAGCACCGCACAGAGGTACCTCCTCAGTGTCAAAAGGGTTCCAGCATCTTCCTCAGCCAGCCCTCCCTCCCAGGTCAAACATCCTTTCTGCTCTAGATCCCAAACTGGCCACTCTCTGCAGCTGGAGCTTTCACAGCTGAAGCCAGCTGCTTTTTTTTTTCCCCTCTGGTAGCATAGCCTGACTGCTCAACCACCAGAGCTGCTGCCCCATGGTACGATCACAGGTGGGTCACACTCCAGCTGTGTCACTCATCACTGCTGGTCTCTGATGAAACAGCTGCCCACAGAATCCACGGAAAGGCTTGAGGCAATAGAGAAAAGGAAAGCCATCTGCACACAGCACAGGCCCTTGACTCATGCACAGATTTTCTACCCAAGGCATTTTCCCCTCCTGCTCTCCCAGCTGTCCTGACTAGCAGAGTTGTTCACAGAGGAGCATCCCTAACACACTGCAGCAATGCTATTTCCAGGGTTAACAGAGCACTCCTGAAAAATATAATTTCCTTATTTTACAGGGAGTTTAAATGTTACTTTTTTCCCCCCTGCAGCACTGAGTATCCTTCTTCTCCTCCTGGTGGAGGGAAACAGCTTGAATCAGTTTTCTTTGTGACAAAAAAGCCGTGCTAGTCTGTGGGCACGTGGAACATTTTATTTTCCTACTTGGTTGATTTTATTGCAGGCTGAGTGAACATGTTAAGTAAATGGCCTCACACCCATCTAACGTTTACGTCACAACAAAGATGCTGCCAAGAAGTTCCAAGTTTTGCAATTTAATCATATGCTTTAATCACTTCACATGCCTTAGTTACTTCAGGCAAGTTAGGATGTTAAAAAGAGGTATTCATTCTCCTGGAAATTATTTTTCATTGAAAAGTCTTACTCAGTTAACTGTTTTAGCCTCTCAAAAGAAACATGCCTAAATAATTCCTTTGTCAGATTAAAATGAATAGTAAATGGATTGCCTTAAATTTGAAAAAAAATAGTCATAAAACAAATATGGTATATTAGTTTCTTATACCTCCATTTGATATAAGCCCGTGCTTAAAAATAAAACAAATAGATATGAAAGAGCAAACAAACTAATCACTTCAGATGCTGCTCCATACAGTAACTGGAACACCTTACACCAGCTGAACTGCACTGACTGGATCTCCTCTTTAGCATACCAACAACAATCCTGGTGAAGGTTCAGCATAGACATTTCCATTTCAAGCAGCTTCAGCTCAATCCAGAAATAAATATTATTTCAAATAAACAGCAGTATATTGAGATAAATTAAGGGTCAGGTGCTCCAGCAGGAACAGTCTGAAACATTCCCATAGTTAGAGACGAGAAGCCAGATACACAGAACAAGACCTTCCTTGCTCCTTCTTTATGCACAAGCCTAAACTTCAATAGGGAAGTAACAAAAGCACGTGGGTGAAAAGAAAGGCCGACATTCACATGCAAGCCCAATGTAGTTTGGTATTTCAGGTCTGATCCCACTTCTCTTTCAACCAAGGCTTTTGTACAGACATTTGTGAGAAGCAGAAACCCCACGGGGACTCTGTGTGAGTAAAGCAGCCAAAGCCAGTGAAGCAAAACAAGCTGGCTTGGCTGGAACAACAGCCTTCATTTGGCTCTTGAGTCAGAATCAAAACTGTTAGAAAAGGGCTAATAAAACCTACATCAATTCTAGTGAAACGGCATCACTTCTAGGGGCTCTGACTTTAGGGTCATTCCTGTCTGCTGCTGCCATACCTTTACACAGGCCTCCTAGCTGGCCACATATACTAAGTTTTGTGTTCTTTTTATATAAGAGATATCATAAGGACACCCTGTTGCTAACTGAGAGCAAGGGCACAGCTGCAGGACCACTGCAGAGCACAGCTGCAAAGCATCAGCCACCCAGCTGTCCTCCTTCAGCCCAGCAAGAGACCTTGCTGCTGCAGAGGAGCCCTGGTCCCTGCATGATCACCTTGTTCTTGTCCTGGGGCTAGAGCACAGGATAAGTTTGCTGATCATATTTTTTTTTTAAGAGCAGCCTTATGTAGAACAGAACATCCTTACAAAGCTGAGAGGGAGGATACCATCAGTGTATCAGTTTAATTTTCTAAAGGAAGGAAACACATATGGAATAAGCTCACTTTGCATAAATGCATATCCTTGCTTGAAATAATAACCAGTACAATGGAGATGGAGGCAACCACAGGTAAAGGCCATCAAAAGCATGCAAGGCACATTGTTTTTAATCCTTGAATAAAGAGTCAAACAGCCAAGTGTTTCATGGTGCTTACACTTCTGGACAAAATCCTTCTCTGCACCAGTTGTGTCAGCCAATTCACCTGCTTGCTCTTCTCAAACCACCACAGAGCAGTACACCAGCAGCCTTGTGCCAGCTCTCAAACATCAGTCGTGCACACTGAGCTTAACTCTAAGCTAACCTCCACCACAACAAGGACTGTACTGACCTGCCTGGGAGATGCCTTGAGCTTTCCAGAACAGAAGACATCCATCAGGATGTCACAGCCCAAGCTCAGCCCTTCACAGTTCAGGATCTAGGGCCAGGGAAGGAATCCCGGATGATGCTCATATTCAGCTCTCTACAAGAAGGTGCCAGATGGGTTGTGCTGTGTATCAGGAAACAGCTGGTAAATGAAACCAGAGCTTTGTCGTGAGGAGTGAGAGAGAAGCACGTAAATCTAGCTCTTGAGATTAGATTTTAGAGCATGATCACACACATTTCAGCCTTTGCGGGACTAGTGGGTTCCCTCAGGGTTGCATTTGGGATCTTGCTTACCCCAAGAAGCACCACTTCATAGTCACAGAATGGTTTGGGTTGGAAGGGACCTTGCAGATCATCTAACTCCAACCCTTCTGCCTTGGGTATGGACACTTTCCACTAGAAGATTCACTAGATTTCACCAGAAGTAACAGGCACAAGAACAGCTCTGTCACCATTCCCTCACAGAGCTGACTCAGTGGAAAGAGAAAAGGACCTTGGCCAAGCCACTACTTTCACCATATTATCTCTGGAGTAAACACTAGGGAGGAAACATCAATCAGATATTCATATTCCTTAAACTACAAGGTGCTGAGAAGATGGGGAGAGGAAGCCAAAAATGACACTCCTTTTCTTCCTTGCCTTTTTTTCCCCCCCCCCCTTTGAGAAAGTACCTGATTTAACAGCCTCCTCAAAGAAGAAGCTCTTTTAATCGGTATTTCCCCTACAGGCTTATCAGGTACAACTGTGTTTTGTTGGTAGATATGCTGCTTGGGCCGTATTTGATAGAGTCTGAGGTACAGCATTTAGTGCTCTTGATCATTATGATACCCACTAGGTTTCACCATCTTCTTTGATCTCCCCGGCTACAGAACAGGAATCCTACACAGTGGGCTGAAAGCTCAGGGCAGGTCACTGCATGGTTTATGACTCATATCCACCCTACATATGAAAATAAATTCCTAGTATTGTCTACACAGAGTGAAAGAAGAAAGAATGAACCACAGAAAAACAAGCACTACTAAATATCCTATTCCCTTCTAGAGAAATGCTTATGGCAACAAAAATTAGAGCACATTTCACTCTTTTGCTTTTGTAGAGACAACAGGAGCAGCTGGAGAGCTTGGTGAAGTTAGTGACGTGGAAAGGTTCCTAAGAGGTGGGAAGCCACAAAAATGAAATGGTAAGCTATGTTTTTTCTCATATTGCAAAGCAGCTGAAGTTTGTAGGCAGAGATAATTTTGCCTAATTACCAATAGAGAATAATTTAAGGAGTAAACTATGGCTACGTATATCCAGTTAACTTTGCCCACATGAGAGGGTGCTGTGGTTCTTGTGCTTATGACTGAAGCCCCATCCCATTATGACCACTGAGAAAGCTCAGATCTGCTGGCAGGATTTACAACACACACCAAAACGAGACAACAAAGCAAGACAGGGATTTTAAGCCATCCAGTTCTGCATCCAAATTTTCTTCACAGATGAGGAATTTGTGAAACAGAGCATAAATTATGCCAAAGAAAAAAAAGGCATTGATCTCTTCTCTAGCATTCCAACAAAGTTTTCAGCATTTCTATTTCTCTCATTTTATTAGGGAGACACTCTGGACGGTTGCCTGCTTGCTGTTCGCATCTCTACCCAAAGGTAAATACACTATAATACATCTCTAAGAGTTGTGGAAATATTTACACATAAATACTCAAACTGCAATTATGCTAATCATCCACTGGGAATCTTTGAGCAGAACAAGTATGTGCTATGGTTTACTTTGGATTTATTTCATCACAGTGCAAGGTTTACTAGTGCAGGCAATAACTCTGAGATACGGTTTATCTGAAATAGATGTTTATGAGGTTTAGGCATTTCAGGCTCACAAATCTCCACCTATAAAGTTCATCCTGACCACATCCTTAGAGCACTCCACCATTTCTGTAATATTAAGGATGGCTTGGAATCTCCTTCTTCACAATCCCAGATGTCTTGTATCATTTTTATTCCTCATTTAAGCTCATAAATGGCTTTCTACAGGGATATCCAGTTAAGTAAAAGGACTGGAGCCAACCAACCGTTTCTCCCCTTGAATCTTTGCATACACGTTGCCAAATTCTAGCACAATTGGGCTTCTGACATTATATATCATGGCCTTCCCTATTAAAGAGATATGCTAGTATGTGCTGGTAAGGGAGTCTTCCACAAGCTACAGGGGCAACTCCCTGTAATTTCTGTATTTGAAACTTAAGTTGAGCAACATTAAGACCTCTGTGCAGGGTCAAGACTCCTTCATTTGTTCAGAAATGTTCCACTTTTACCAGGTGCTGTAGTGGCCCAGAAGGTTACACGTCATCTGGAAGTGGTCTCTCCCTCTCTTCTAGAAGCACAGCTAGCATTTTTAGGGAAAAGCTTCCACGTGTTTCTGTAGAGCTGTGTGAAAGTCTATTGCAACTCAGGATGGTCTTTCAGTAGATGAGTGCACCTGTAAACACTCTGAGCCATTGAAGTGCTTAACCTTTGACTCATTTTTCCCCTTTAAATAAGGAAGTTCAAATTTAGTGTTTCTGAGCAAGCAATTAGGATTGCAAACAGCCCCCTACCCTTCTTCAAATGATTTGGCATATAGGTGAGACACTATCCTGTAAGGAATCATACAGGATTACCTTGTCAGGCTAACACCTTTCAGTTTGAACCCATAAATACTCACTAAACAAAACACGGAAATTTTCTCATTGCCACACTTCTAACACCAGAACATTTTTCTGCTTATCACTTCTGTAACTTTCTTTGTTTAGCATCAAAACTACACTAGCATTACCAGAGTGAACCTGCAGGTGGGTAGGGAAGAGAGAGAGAGAGAGAGATTCAAGAGCCTTCTACTCCCAGGCCCTTTTCCACAAGGCATAAATCCTGGATCTCCTCCTGGCATCTCACATTCCTCTGGTGCAACCAATACACAATTGAGAAAACTTTTTTTTTTTTTTTTTGAGAAAAAAAAAACGAGATGGTTGCCACAAATCACCTTCAGGAGGGGGGAAGAGAGAGCAACAAAAAAGCCACATCTTCAGGAGCTTTCCTGTACCACACTTTGAATACCAAGGCAGCAGTATTTGTTCATCATGGAAATCCTAAGAATTGGCCAAGTTACCACTCTTAATTTCACCTTGATAATCTTGTGCCAACTAGCTTAAAACTACAAGTTGCTTTTAGAACAACAAAAACATGAAATAAAACCAAGTCTCACCTTATGTTCAAGTCCCACATCTGCAAGTGCAAGCTGTGTGCTGACACACATTTTTGCCAGTGTAGAGATCTGCACAAGGCCACACACACAGAGTTTTCCAGGTAGATAGATGAGTGCTGCTCACCCTGCTCCACACATCCCAGCAGCAAGCCGCCACCATTCCTGGGGCTCACTGAAGGAGTGCTTCAGTCTCCTGGTCAGGAAAATTTACTTCCACACCTTCTGCTGTATCAAGGACTTTGTCAGAAGCTTAACAAAACATCACCTCATCAGCCTTAAGCATAGCTTCAGCCTCCTTCTCAAGGCTGGCTTTTATATTCAGCTGGTGTTCAGAAGTCTTCCCATCTATGAAGGGCCTCATGAGGCTCTGTTAATTAACTCATTACAGCCAGATTTCAATCACCTGTTCTTGCTCCAGGCAACTCCACCAGAGCCTCCTTTTAGGGCAGGGTGGGTTGGACTCCATGGGTGTTTACAGGCTCATTCCTAGTGTTAAGAAACCTGTATAACACCTCATGCAGGAAAGGAAGAATTATGCTAGGCTTATGTGTGCTGAACGCTGCTGTCCTCAGTCTTCAGAAAAAGACTTCAGAGACAAAAAGAAAACTGATGCACTTACAAAGCCGCTATCGAGTTTAGAAGTGAGCACAATCCAGAGATAGGACAGGCACTCTTTTCTCCTCTTTCCCTCGTTAAAAAAAGCTTGTCTGTTTTCCCAAATAGAGCAACAAGTTTCGCTAACTTTGGGATTGTCTTTTCTTCACCTATGTGCAGCTAAGTACACTGCTAGCACTCCTAATAGCATCCTGTGGACAGGATTCACCCCACCAGAAAGCCCCTCAGGAGGTTTGCTTTTTCCTGGGCTTACAAAACACCTGCAGCAGCTCCAGACATACTCATCCTCCCTCTGTAGCCAAACACAGCCAGCAATAACCCTCTTTCAGACATGGCTTTGCGTTGGAGAGACCACCGAGTACAGCCTTGCTCAGCCCCCTGGGGCCCCAAGTGCTGAGGGATGGGGCTCAGGCTGCTCCCTCCCCTCCTCACCCATCCTCACCTGGTGGTGGCCCTCCAGCTGTGCCAGGGTACAGCGCTAATTGCTAATTGCAGGGCGCTAATTGCTAATTGCAGAGCTGAGGTGGCCTCCTTGGGGCATGCAGGGTCATACATCCTCTAGCAGTAAGCATGCAATGCAGCGGGTGCTGGACTTGATTATAAATAAAATAATAAGACAATGATTTGGATGTTACTGAAATTCTGGTCCCTATGTTGTGTTTTTTTAGCTAAAGGTTTAAACTGTGGGGCAGGTTTAAACTGGGATTTTCAGCTAGAAAAATCTGCAAACCTAAGGAAAGCAGATGTATGTTGAAAAAATTTTAATAGAAGACACTCAGCACAGTGATTTAGTGATCCGTATGATACTTTTCCTTCTGCTTTTATGTCTGTCTGGAAGGACACAATGTGAGAACAAACAAGCCTCAAACCAGACACTGATAAATATGGAAACGTAGCCCTCAGCATGCAACCAGCTGAACCCTGGCCGGTATCAGAGACCTCAAGAGGGAACTGGGGCTGTCTTTGGTCTTTAGCCCGATACATACACAGGTCTGGCGGGCTTACAGGCCTACAACACTGGGATGGCTACGGTGCCACCAAGAACATTTTATTTCTATATTTAGTCTGATTAATTGCCCCTTATGCTTCTCAGAACTTTGGCCATGAAAACAGATTGAGCTGTTTCACAGTGAAATGTAGTTTTTCTCTCTGGTGCAATCCCAACCTCATGCTGCTTTTGTTTTTGCTCCCTGCTGGGGATGAAAGTTTCCCATCCAAATTAATTCATCTGTGTTTTAATTTATAACATCGTTTTGTGAAACAGGTTTGGTCAAAGCGTTAATTTCATTCTGCTGCTGAAAATACCTGGTTGTCCATGCTTTAACTCTTGCCTTTATTCTTTAAAAACAAACAAACAAGAAACAAATAAATAAACCAGGTAGAAATGCATAGAAACCTGGCCTCCCGCTCTGCCTGCCTGTTTGCTCACCAGCAGGATACGTTCACAGCGGTTCTTGCATTTGCTGGAATTGATCGGTAACGTTTCTGCCAGACACACACAGGCCACATGTACAGAGCATACCCAGGGACTAATAGTCCATTTCCTTGAGGCCTTGGAAAAGGAGCTAGAGGGAGAATGGCAGGCCTTTTGGGGCTGCTGGGAGAATATCCCAAAGAGTACGAGAAGCCCAGACACAAATGTAGAAAGGAGCCTTGAGTGCACCCAGACGCAGTTGTAGAAAGGAGCCCTGTTCTGTCAGGCCATCTTCACGAGGTCAGGCTCCTTCCAGGGGGACTCTCCACCTTATTTACGAGTCTGGAGCCATGACGGGATAGGCGGCAAGGGGAGCTGGGGGAGATCCAACTCCTCCAGGACTTTTCTCTTGACAACAGCAACACCTTTTTCATGCTTCTCCTTTTTTTTTTCAGCCAGACTTCCTCCAAAACCAAAAGTTGTTTAATCACATCTGTCTTCACATCCCCACATCCCTTCCTGCCCTTTTGAACTGACTGCTTAATTTATCTGATTATTCAATATAGAAAATTATAGTATATCAAAATATTTAATTTTATAATATAAAATATTATAAAATATTCATAAACGCTGAGGAGAAAAATCACCAGCTGAGGAGACAAGTTCAAGCAGCTGATGAAGTGGGTGCAATTTTCATGCAGCATCATCTGTCCTCCTGGGCACTGAGCACACGTAGCCCCCAGTCCCTACACAGCACGTGCTGCCTCCTGCCCAGCTGGGAGCAGGAGGACACTGGCGGAAGAAAAGGGAGGAAAAGGCTGGGAAGAGAGGCAGTAACAATGTGAGAAAGGCAAGGTATAGGAAAGTTGGTGTCCCTAGCTTTGCTGTGTGCTGAGGAAGTTGTCTGTTTTTATTCCAGGTCAACCAGATGCAACGTGCCATGCGTTTGTTGGAGAAAGTGTCATTTTGCCTTGCACCACCACCTCTCCCAGTGAACTGGATGTTTCCCATTTGATGCTCTTCTGGCAGATAGAGTCTAACATAGTGCATTTTTTTCACAATGGAGAAGATCAGCTAACGTTCCAGAATGCAAATTACAGCGGCAGAACCAGTCTGTTTTTGGATCAGGTGAAGCACGGCAACTTTTCCCTTAAGCTCTCCAATGTCCAGCTAGAGGATGCAGCTGTATATTCCTGCATCGCTAAGCAGTCTGGGAATCATCCCACACCAACAGAGAAATCTAAAATTCATCTCAATGTATCGGGTAAGATTTTTGTTTAGTTCACAGTGAAGTTGTTGAGAGAAGCATTTCTTGCAGACAAGCCACACATAATGGCCATTGTTAGATGAGTTCAATTTTTAAAGCAAATCTTCATGCAGTTTCACTCTGTTCCTCGCTTTATCTGGAAGAATATGACTGGAGAAGAAGAATAAATGCATCTTCGCTTCAGCACAGCATATCCACAGAATTAGCAGGACTCCTGAGGGCAAGCCACCTGGCTCTTTCCCCTCCATGTCCAGGAGATATTAATGAGGTCTCTAGACTTTTAAGCATTTGGCTACTTGGGGTGCTGTACTGTTCTGGATCCACCTTGTTCCCAGGGGGATGGGGGAGTTCATTTCGTTGTTTGTACTTGGGTCTGTGAAGCAGAATTAGCTTCACCACTGGCAATTCAACGTCCAGGCCAATACCCTTTCAGATGACAGGAAGCCAGTTGCGAATTTGTGAACATTTTGCCTTGTAGCCGTGGCAAGGCTGAACTCATGAAGTGAGAATATTATTTTTCTTCCCTAGGAAAATGACCAAGACCATAACCCCCACTTGAATAATGCCAAACAGCTGAGCTATCATGTTTGAATCACTTACGAGCATGGCTAGTGGAATTCTTGGGTATTTGGTTTGACCAGTTGACTGACCAAAATAAATAAATAAATAAATAAATAAATAAATAAATAGGGGATAAAAGTCAAAAGAAATCATAGTTTGTTAAGGTCATTTGTACAAATTGGCTGGAAATTTTCATTATAGTCAATGACACAGATTTCATTCAGCTTAAAAGAGAAAAGATTTGTTTTTCAAGACATTTACACCCTCTTTATCTTTGTTTTAAATCACATAATTCTCAAGAGACAAATGCTTTTGAAATGTAAAGTGATATACTTTTGTTCAGAAAATCTAAAAGTGAAATGTTTTGCAGTTTTCAAAATTGATTTTTTTTTCTTTTTTGAAAATGCAGAACCAAAGTGTTTTCATTATCTCGTTTTTTGGGAGCAGTAAAACATCTTTTCTTCTGATTTAATTCTGTAATCACACTTAAACTTTCAATTTATTTGTTAAATATATTCTTCTCAGAAAAACTGCTAACCCTCAGATCAATTATTGATGACCTTTTTCCTAAGGTTAAACAAATAACTAATTTTTGTGTTTTGTTTTGTTTTGTTTTGTTTTCCCCAGATCGATCTAGCACTGTGGAGACACATTCCCCTCATGGTAAGGCAACAGTCCTTAATGTGCTAAGTGTCTGAGTGATTATCTTTGATTAAATTAATTAAATTTATTAGTTTGAATTTGAATTTGGTAGATTGATAAACTGTGTTGAATAGAGAAAGTCCAAGATGCTTCTAGCAAAATACAAACTTAGATCCAGCTGTTCAGACAGGGAAAAATTACCTTTGCCACCAACACAGACCTAGACCACAGAAAAAGGAATACTGAAGTGCCAGTGGTCCCCAGTCCATAAAGCTAGCCACCACTAAGAGCATCATGAAATCAATAAAACACAAGTAACATGGAAGCCACTCCATGCTGGGAGATAAGACCTTTGTAAATTACCTTGGTATAAATGAACTACTAGATCTGGGGGAATTTTTCGGTAAACAGAGTAATAAATACGCTAAAAATACAAGAATGATGACTACATAATGTCCTTCAGGAAAATTTAAGTAGACGTCATCTGACAGCAATTCTAAAATACAAGGCATATGCTAAAGTCTAGGTTTAATCATTACAGAGAAGTAACAATAGTAAGGTCAATTACAAACACTTCTTGAGTACATACAACACAGAAGTGCCGTCCAGCCCTGACTTACATGGTCAAGATAATCTCCCATAAAAAATCCTGCTTGTAAGTCAAATTATTCATACTAGCTCTACAAAGTCTTAAATTGGTGTCATCAAACCTGTAACACTTTCTCATATAAAAATTAATGGCTGTAATTTGTATTTTGCTTAGCGTAGCTGAAAGATATAATCAATTACATGGCAATCATTATATTAAAGTAAATGTAGTATGTTCAGCCACAGTAAGATGTTGCAACAAGACTGGGTGGCAATAAACTCAAATGGAAACTAAGGAAGAGAACTGTTGAAGTGTTTCATCATTGTCATGCAGAAACTTTCAGCTTTATACCTCATGGACCATAAGCAATCTTAAAAGTTAGAGGAAATGTCTTTTTTAGACCTAATGTAACTCCTCTCACTGGCTTAGAGGCCTTCATAGAATATGAAGTTACATATAAGATGGTGGCGTATGCCTCAGTGACACAACACTACATGAGAACATCGTAAGAGCAAATAGAACAGGAGCTAGAATGCCTTTAGCTGTTACCTTCCACGAGAAATATCAGATTGTCAAGGGTCAAAATTTTTAATGAAACCTTTTCAAAATTAAACGCAAATTGGGTGAGCATAAAAATGCCTATATTTAAAGCAGATCATTTTATATATATTTGGCTTCATTGAAAACTCTCTGACAACTTTTCCTCAATGGAAATAATTGCTCACCTTGAAAAATTATTTCTATAAATGAATAAATAAAAAGATTAGGAGAAGGGAGAGTTTTTCAGCTTTGCTATAGTAGGATAAACTGAATCACAAACCTTACACATCTGAAGGCTTTTCTACTGCTGGATTTTTTTTTTGGGGGGGAAAGGGGTGGATGGCAGAAAGAACAAAAGCCTAACTTTCAAAACATACATTTTTGCAAAAAGAAAAAATATTTCCTGTTGTCAACATTATTTTTTAAAGCTAAAAAAAAAAAAAAAAAAGGCATAGCACACAGGCTTTTTTTTATTTTTGGCAATTTCTTAAGAAAGGCAGGAAAATAATTTGTTCTATATTAGTTGCTATTTTGGAAGAGAGTTAGAAAAGTTAAAAGACCTGCTGAGAGCAAAAAGGCTGCTCTGTGCAGAAATAGTTCTCATGCTGTGCAGTTATTATAACCAGATCAGCAGATATTTAATTTTTTTTATAAAACTGGAATAATTTTGATCTGTTTCACCTTTGCTCCATTTCTATTCATTTATTTGATGGGTTGATTTTTTTTTTCCTATTTATCTTAAAGAGACTGATTTTACTGTCACTTTACTGTCACCGTGTTGTGGGAGATTCCCTCTGGGCTAATAGAAACCTGGCTTTAAGTTTATTACCGGGACAAAGGGAAGTGCATAGGCCTGGCAGAGGTCATGACACACCAGAGACTTGCTATCTCCTGATAGTTACTTCAAAGCATTACTGAGGACTCCAAACATTAACTTGTTCTTTACACATTAATACATCATACTCCTTCCAGAGAGAGGGGGAGGAGAAACTCACACTGGTGACAAGAGTACAACATTTCGAAAGCCACTGCCTGCAGGTCCAGAGATACCACACTAATTGGAGTAGCCTAAAAACTGGTATAGAAAAAAACATCTTCCCAGAGAAGGCCTTTGACCTGAACAGCTATGGGGAAAAAAACCTCTGTACTGCTTAAGTCAGGGGTTCAAAATCTTTTTCTTTTTGCTTTTGTACTACCTTCCTCATGCGTTGCAGGTACCAGCTTTGGCAAGGCTGTTCTGTGGTTCTTGTCAATCCACACTGCAAAGAGTGTTACACAGTGCTACTGCCATCTGAGTCTCTGTGGCCTAGGCTTTTTTATATTTATATAAATATAAAATATTCATATTTTATATTTTTATATTGTTATATAGATAATCGAACGCCTACCTCAGGCTCACTGTATGGAATTATAATTTATTTATATTTTTTGATTGTTGTTCTATCAGGCTTTTGGACAAATATTCTCAGCCATTCAGAAATGGAAGTTGTATTAATTGATGCTCAGTGTCTGTGCCTCCCCTACAAAAGACAAAAAATAATTTATCACAGTACCTCAAAGCTGGCTTTTCTGTATGGCATAAACACATATATGCACAAAAAGCAGGATTTTGAAAATGGGCCAAAATCTATGATTTTATAAGCAATCTTCCAGGAGGGCATTCATATAAAAATCTCTGACACAAATTTCAAACACATTTCTTGTCAAGCCACTGTTTTGATGCAGACTTTCTCTTTTTCCATTTTCCAGGACAGAGCCGGATTTCCTCAAGAAGCCCTGGCAACGTACCACATCTGGACGTACTCCTCTCTTTTCATCTCCTGGTCACACTGGCGGGTTGGCGCTTGTAAACAGGGAAGCTTACCTCCCCTTTGGAGCTGTCCTCAACAGGAGCACCTTGCTGGAGAGAAGAGCTCTGCAAGGTCATCGTGACAAGTGCTCCTGAAAGAGACACCAACATCTGAAAACAGAGCCAGCAGTAGGTGTCTGTGTCTCGCGTTCTGGTGCTCTGGAAAACCGAAGGCAGCAAAACTCACAGGAGGCAAGCCTGCTTTTTCATCTGGATCTTGGAGACCAGTATTGGTGCTACAGTATTAACATTTTATTCTGAATTTTATGGTTCTGTTTTAATGACTGACAGAGCTACAAGGACACACGGTCGCCCTAGTGAGATCTTTTGCCTAAGAACTCGTCTCCTTCAGGAGAGGGGGCAATTACTCCGTTAGATAAAAACTGGAAGTAGGAAGAGGCACACTTTGTGAAACATAAGGATGGAAACCATATGAAACTCGAGGACTGTGGAACTTCAGCTTCTATTTTTAGCGCCGAGCGTCATGGACAAGCGGAAGCAATATCTTTTTTCCTAAAAAAATGAACTACTTCTTCATCAGAAGGGTGAAGCTGACAGAGGAAGATGATGAAAGTTCAGAAAACATCAGCACAGCGGAAGGAAGTGATGGATTATTACAAAACCCACTTCTAACTAAGCCAAAGTCCTCAGAAGGCTGAATTCAGCATTTTCTCTATTTGCTGTGAGTTGCACCCGCCAGGTGAGAGCAACACAGCCCTTGTGGCTGAGCCCCCAGCTGGGGCAAAGCGGCTCCTAAGGACACCCAGTGGGTCATCTGGATTTGGAACAGTTCCACCCTCTTTCCAAAGGAAAGATAGGATTGTTTTTGCAAGGAAAGGAACAGAAGAAAGCAGTGCTTAAAATGGTATCCATTGAGGTAAAGGAGACTGTTACCTTTGACTTTCTTTAGTTAAGGGCCCTTCCCCGTGGGAGGGGAAGAGGGAAAATCCCACACGCAGCCTGTGCTGCTGCTGCAGGGCTCTCAGCTGGTAACTTCGTCTGCCCTGGGTATAGAGCAGCTTAGTAGAGCTGCTGGGGTCCCATTTCATGAAAAGATTTTAATATGAGAATTGTACATACTGTGATCGTCTCTCTGTGTCCTGCCCTCCCACTGTTCGTCTCAGATTCCATATATTTAAACAAAACAAACAAACAAAATAAAAATAAAACAATTGGTGAAAGCAATGGTGTGGTATCATGTCAGAGTTCTTCATTTGTATTCCAGCTGCTCCTACAGTTTGCTACGCTCCCTGAGCAATCAGAAAGTTCAAAGGGTGGGATCCGTACAGGTCCACCAGTCCCAGACGTCTAAACTGCTCACCCTCATCTCCAGGGCTGAATGACTTTTAAAACTGAGTAGCCACTTCAGCAGCCACCCACTTTTCAAAACGTGCTTCAGGCAAAATGAAAGTGCACTTCCAATCACAAATGTATGCTGTGTGAGTTGCAAAAGTTTCCTGGTCAAGCAAAGAAATAATTACTTGAATAAATAGATGTGGGCATGCAGGGCTAGAGCAGCCTCACTGCTGTGGAGAAGGACAGCCCAGCTGTACGTTCAGGAGCTGGCACTGAGCTGGCTGATGCTCATGAGGAAGCCCCAAGTTCCCTAACTCCTCGGCTTCTTTCACCCCCAGAAGCGATTCTCCCTGCCCACGCAAACTAGCATGAATCACAGTAAGCACACAGGCAGATGATGGCAGGAGGAACAAAGGGTGGGGGGACAAAGACTGGATGACCTCCAGCTGTCCCTGTAACCCTATTTTTTTATGACTCAGATTTGCAACGGAGCTTGGGATGTTTAGCACCCCTGTTTATCATATTTTCCCACAGCTGTAGTTAATGCCATTCCCAGTGGCAATATACTACCACCATTCAGCTTTCCTGTGAGACTGCAAGGGAAGGCTTGAAATGACTGGCAGACCTTGATTTGTCCTTCCCTGGCTGGGTGATGACACGACAAGCAAATGTCTTTTTTTTGCAGACCACGAGCAGCATGTACTACTTCTGTTTTCCAGTTTCACTGTGAACTAGAGGGATAGCTTTGAAAACAAAGGAGCACAAAAACAACTCATACATTTAAGGTGGAATTTTGCCTTCTCTCACTTGCAATACCTTGCACATACCCATTTCATGTGGTAAGAGCACAGACTGAAAATCTGCTACCATAAAACTTACTTCATAGACCCCTTGTGAATTATTCTTGCAAACAAAAGGCTGTTAAAGCAAGTTTATATATTTTTTTCCGTGCATGTTAGTGACACTGGTAAAACGGAAACGAAAAGGAGTTTCTTTGCTCCTCTTGTAGTCTAACTGTACAGTAAGGTTAGTGGTTAATGCTTTTCACTGACTTCCTTCCATTTCCATATGATGCAAGAGAAATGGCCCATAAAGATCATCAGCAAGACATGAATGTCATACTTTCGGTGCAGAATTTTCACTGCTATTTCTGCCACGTCTGAGGGCACTCATTCACATAGCATGCTGCTCTGCAGTTGAATGAACTGAAAAAAATATTGAAAATATGCATGGAAGGCAATTATTTTTTAAACATGTAGCTGGAAATTATGTTGCTTTGGGTCATGTACTTGTTGTTGCAACTTCTGTTTCAGCTTCTGGGACTGTCCAAGTTCAGGCCCTTCTTTTCCCCTCTCTCACTCTCTCTTCCCCCAGAGATCCTGGCCACCACTGAAATCACCTTGGAAAAGATAACCAAATATCAGTTCCTTATTTCTTCCAAGGACTTATGCTGACCCATGCAGCAGAAAAGCCTTCTCTCTGCCACTGAAAGCCGTGTGAAGGAGGAAAAAAGACAGGTCAAAACAATCACTCCAGCCTCGGAGTGCTGAAAACTCTCAATTATTTGCAGATGGAGGATTATCTAAGCTGCCACTCTTAAATATATATAAATATATATAAATATAAATATATATACACACATACACACATGTAAGATAATGCTGGCTTGCAAACATACAGACCCTTGAAAGAACAAGAAGTTTCCTTCCAGGAGCATTACTTGCCCTGATAAAAGTCCCTCCAAAACCTCCAACAAACCTTGGGTTTAGGTCACCTTCCTATAAAAGCACTATTATAGAAAACAAATACACACCACCACCACGTTATGTATTTTTATCACTTTATCCACTTTTTCTCATTTTTTCAATGCTAATTATGTCGTAGGAAAGTTTTGTGGCTTCATAGGGGTGTGTTTGATATTATCCTTTCACGGAGATAAATGAGAAGGCGCGGTATTGAAGAAACGAGTCTTTGCAAGACAGCTGGACAAACACATTATGATGGAACTGGACTTCCATTTGTTTTTGTTAAACAAGCAGGAAGCAGTAATTGCCTGATTCCCTTTACGGGTCCAAAACGTTAACATAAAAATGCCATTAGGAAGCAGCAGCTGGAATATGGTGCCTGCCGGCTAAGTGCTGCTGTTCCCAAGGTGCCCCCTGCTGGCATTGAGTGCGTTCACCAAACCGCCTCCTGCAGCCACAAACCACGGCGTAAAAACGAAAAGAACTGTCTCAATCCCTATTCTCAGTTTCTGCTTTTAGAAGAAAAAAAAAAAAAAAAGAAAAAAAAAAAGGTATGGTTATCAAATCTGTGAGCATTGCAACAATCCACAGGGGAACGTTTCCTAAAATGGTTCTTGTGCATGAGCACGGTAAAATCGGGCAGGCAGAAACACAACTGATGGGTAACATCTCCTCACCCCACAAAATAACCCCATCACGGCACTCGAAAAGCAGCGCAAGCTGGAGGGGCAACTCCCACTGTATTTCAGTGAGACAAAATTATTAAACGCTTCCTGCAGATCAAAAATCGCAAGATCCGTAAGCCAGATAGCGCATGCCTCCTTGTGGGGGCCCAAAGAATACACATTTTTTGACGTATTTCTGAAAGCATTTAACAAAAACACATCGATCACAAACTTCCACCCACTGGGTTCAACTAGCAAGCCCCTGAGTAGATCCAAAGAGCCCTACAGAAGGAAAGGAAAAACCCAACTCAACAGACAAATGTCTCTGTTAGTCTCTAAACCCACAAGGAATTTCCCTCCGAATTTACACTGGCCAAAAGCCAAGACAACAATCTTACATCTTCCATCAAAGTTTAAAAATCTTGTATTAATACAAAACCTTAAAAAACAAAAAACAAAAAACAGTGGGTATCAAAGGTTAATACTCTGCACAACATTGTGGAATTACAGCAACTCACCAATAAAGAGGAGGCAGGAATGGGTCCTGAATCCTTCACATTTCAAAATATTTTCTCTGGAAGAAGAAGGATGCAAAGATATTCTGAAATGCGATTCTTTCTGGAAAATAATATTTTTGTCTCTGACTTCCCCAATGCACATCATTATGTCCTGTCCCCAGCAAATGCCCAAGCTTCCAGCACCGACACCACCATGCGGGTAGCTCACTTTTTCTAATTGCCTGGTGAAATGGTACAGGCACAGAAGAGGAGCTGGTTCCTTAGGTGCTCTCATCAGAACTCCCAACCCTGGCTCTCAAACAGTCACCAGACTTGAAATCACCATTTTGGAGTACAGTTTGACCTTGTGTTGCTTCTATTCAGCGGATGAGATGGCATGTCAAATTAGGTGAGCTTTTCAGCTAACACACCTGATTCTAAGCATAAAGGACTGTGATAATCCAACCTGGAAGTCACCAAGTCAGTGGTCAACGTGACCAACACTTTATCTGCTTCAAACAGCACACGGTGGATTATTAGCAGTCTTCATTATTTGAGTAACTCTGTTCAAGAAAGAACCTCAGAGGCAGGAAGAGATCTTGCCAATCTCTGCTCTCAGGGGAGAACAACAGGACCCAAGGGAACGGCATGGAGCTGGGACAGGGGAGGGTCAGGCTGGGGGTTAGGGAAAGGGTCTGCACCGAGAGGGTGGTCGGGTACTGGGACAGGCTCCCCAGGGCAGTGGTCATGGCACCGAGCCTGAACTGCTGACATGAGAAACCCTAGATACAACCCCAATAATGGCAAGTGTTGCTTATAAGAAGATTTAACTCAGTCCCCAACAGAAAAAGTTGAGCTTGATTTAGATCACTCTTAACAGCAGATGACAGTACGCAGGCAGCAGCTGTTCTCCCCGTACTCTGGGGGTTCCAACACCACCTGCTTTGTGATACTTTCTGATGTTACCAAATTTAAAACTCCTGCAGATGCAGGAAAGGTAATGGCTTTTTGAAACATCATTAAATTTCATGTGAACAATTCTTAAGGCTCTTTGATTCAAACAAAGCCTGAGGATTTTCTGTGACATTCAGACCTTCTTGCGTATTCCGCTAAGCCTCTCCTAGTTGATATTATAGATATCCTTTTGTGTACCAACAAAGTTTATGGAAAAAATATTCTAATTCTTAACTACCTGATACTGAAGATTTCCTACAGAATTTGATGTACAAGCAAAACACCATTTCAGTGTATGTCCAAAACCCATTTTCTGAACCACCTTTGCTATCATGACGACTGTGCACAACTTCTTTGTAACCACGCTGGAGTTTGTGGTCTGCACAAAGGATCTCCATGCAGTCCTCCAAGAACACAGTGCCTCTGAAGGGCAACTTCAGTTCTTCGAAATCCCAACACAATTTTTATTGACAAAATGCACGCTAAAAGGCTCCAGAAGCAAACACGTTTTCCATGAACACTCACCGAACTAACCGAGAATGCCCACTCGGTGTTTCATTCCTTTCTTCTCCCACAAACTGCCATTCCACATCCCTAGTGAGTCTTCAGACACAGACATTTAATTCATGAAACAGAGATTTAATTCATGAAACACCCAATCCTCCCTGAAAGATATGGGCTCCCTTCAGCATGCCTGTCATGCAGCAGAAACTGTAGGTGCAAGGTAAGGGGTGTCTTTTCATTTGCATTGAGAAATGTTGCTTTCTGATGAATAGAAAGGTGACAAGTAGTGTGGAAGGGAAGGAAGGAGACTCAGCTGGATTCTATACGTAAATGTCTCATAGATGTAAAGGGAACTGAAAAACTGAAAAACTTCTAGAATGTATGAACCAGTGTAAGTTATCAGAGGCAGTTATCAAGCAAAAATGAGGAACAAGGATGACATAAAGGCAGAAATTAATTTATTTATACATCATTGTTTCAGACATTCAGCAATACTTCTTTGGAGAAAGCTTTATTACCCTTAAGCAAGGGAAGTGAGGATAACTTGAGATTTGTTCCTCTACCTGTTTGCTAGTCATGCAACTACTTTATTAAAAGGTATTATCCTTAAAAATTGTGCGTCACATCAGCGGATATTTTCTCCTTCAAGACCTTTCTAGCTACAATGGACCAATGGAGGAATTTTTCAAAGCGCTAGTACCGTGACAGCTAAGATGCTGATATTCAGAATGGCTCCTTGGTGATAACAGGCTTCTTTAAAAAGATGAATGTTTTATTCTTCCATTTAATTAACATGAAGTTGACACTAGCATGTGGAAAATGTCAGTTCCCTTGCCAGCTGCCCCTGGCTTTTAGTTCAGAGTTAATTCCTCTCGGCTCCCATTCTTTGTCCATTAGATATACCGCCACCACATCTGCTATGTCCCTACAACACATTTGCCCTCAGTTTCTGAAAGTGCCTTCAGTCGGGTCTTGTGCTCATGGGAAGGATTTGACAAGGGTGCAGTGATGGCTGGTGTCCAAACACATCTGCACAGCTCTCTCCAGCTGAAAAAGCTCAAGACAATGCTCAGTGCCTTGGGACAGACTGCCTGTTCTCTGCAAGCCCTTCTGCAGCCCTTCTCTCAGGAAGCACATGGGCAACCCCATGGTGCTGCTGGGAATCAATCAGCTTCACGTAACCAACTATTAGAGTACAAACAGGACGAGCAGGTGAAAATACTTCCATCGGTCCACGTTATTTTGAATACTACACCCTATATTTAAACATTCCTGAAGTTTTCATGTTAAAAACAGACACTTTATTTGCCAGTTAATTTTAACACATTCTTTACCATGGCCCCAATGCCGTCAAAGATATGATGTAATTCTGTTTCACACATAAATGCTGGGGTGGTCACCACCTTGTTTTTTGTATCCACATGAGCTTCGTGAAAGGAAGTTAAGGAAAACACAGCCTACGTCTCACTTAAATATGCTGTCTGCAAAATAAACCATCGCTGACCAAACCAGTACAACTCCACTACCCCATAAATAAACACCTCCAAATACATTATACTGCCCAGCTGTAAAGACAGCTGCAACCTATAATGTGAGACATTAGGAATTATTTTGCCAGAAATACACACACTACAAGAGCAATGGCACTCAGAAACGCAAGAAAACCTATGAAACTTACCAACTGCAGTAAAATCCCTCTGAATACAGTCTGAACACAGCTTTAGCCTCCATGAAAAGGAGAAAGATCTCACAGATAACTGGCTAATTGTAACTCGTGCCAGTCTTATGTGCAATTTCTGGCCTGACTGCATTACCAGGTGTCCAAGGGAGTTCTATGGCAACAACTGAGAACTACTTCAAACTATGCAGCTGTGTACAGAAGACACTGTTGTCTAATCAGGCACCGTATTAAATGCTACCCACTACACACCAGGCATTCCCACTAAGCTACAGTGTTAGCAGAAAAGCCCAGATCCTGCAGGTATTCATTTCTGTAAGGACACATTAGAAAACTGTCTCTCAACATGGAAATGGACAGGAAAGGATATAGTCACTTCTTTCACACAGTGCTTTCCTCCCAGCTCTTTAATGGCTCCCGCAGTTCCAGCGTAAGGCCACTTGCCACCTTCCTCTTCTTCGTGGCCCACAGTTACTTCAGCACCAGAAAGAACCTTTGCTGCCAAGACCGGTGAAATGCAGCAAAGACTGCAACAAAAGGAATTACAAGAATGATTCTGTGATGGCACTCCTTCAAAACATGCTCATAATTGACAAGATTCAAATGGACAGAGTCTTACAGATCTGAAAGGCATCACAGGGCAACTTCCACTCAACATTTGTTAGCCTCTTCTTTCACAAACACCTACACACACATATGCACCTTGAAACACACGTTTTAAAAATAAGCTACCACTGATAGAAAACCAAAGATGTTTTTTTCTAGTTACAACAGTAACAGCTGCACATTTCCACAAGACAAAGTAAGTCTCCACGCTCACGCTATCATACAAATGCCCCTCTCCAGTTAACATACATACCCAATAGGTTTGCCTGCTTTGTGGAAGTCTTTCAAGACACGTTCAACTTCTCTATTCACCTTGCAATCTTTCCCATCAACAGCAAAGGTAGATCTGCCACAATAAGAAATTTATATATATATATACTGCATTACAATCCTACAAATAGGGATGCCTATCTGCCCTGGATCTGGCTCTCGAGGGTTAGCACAAAACTTAAATACTTTCTAAAAAGATTGAACGATGCTGCAGTTGGCCAGCAGTGCTTTGGCCAAAATGACTCACTTCTAAAGCTTTGGCATGTCAGAAAGCTCCTTACTTTAAATAAATATCAGGAAATAAGAATTACTGTATCAGCTCTGTAGGATTATTGAGAAGCAAAACAGCAAAGTTACCAAGGAACAAAAACCCGTAAGTAAAAAAACAAAACAAAACAAAACAAACAACAGATTTCTCAAAGCCAATAAAATGACAGGTCAATAACAAGACTGTTTGAGCTCCACATGGATAACAAATGACTTTTTTTTTTTTTGAGTTAGTCATTGTTCTATTGTTGCTAATGCATGAGAGAACTTTTGGGTAGGCTGTCACAAAGACAAAGAAGGATAATGCTAGCAAGCACCTGAAACTAATTAAGTTTTACCTTCACTTGCCTCAGTCAACCTCTAAGGGTCACACCAGGGTGAAAGAAAAAGGACTTCTTGTGCATTAGCTCAACTCTAGAACTCTCATTAATATTGTTGGGAAAATTTAGGATGTAACAGTGCCAATAAAAATTACTGAGTGGAAACCACCACAAACAGCACTAAACACATAATTTCAACTCTTTCAAAGAACTTTTCCTTATTAAGTAGCAGTTACCTATGTAGTAAACAAGGCCATTTATTGTTTCTTGATTTTACTGTGTGCATCAAAGAGGAGTCTAATATTTATCTGGCACTCACAAGTTCTTAGCAGCTCCAAATCCACCAGGGAATATCACAGCATCATGGTCTGCTGTAGTAAGTTTAGCCAGGCTTGTGATTTTACCACGAGCAATCCTTGCAGATTCCACTAAAACATTCCTTGAAGAAGTGGAAATAAAATGAGACAAATTAAGCACTTGTGCACAAGAGACCTTACAACAGCCTTCCAGTACCTAAAGGGGGCCTACAGATAAGCTGGGGAGGGACTCTGTCAGGGAGTGTAGCGATAGGACAAGGGGTAATGGCTTTAAACTGAAAGAGGGTAGGTTTAGATTAGATGTATGGAAGAAATTCTTCACTGTGTAGGCAGTGAGGCGCTGGCCCAGGCTGCCCAGAGAAGCTGTGGGTGCCCCATCGCTGGAGGTGCTCAAGGCCAGGCTGGATGGGGCTTTGGGCAGCCTGGGCTGGGGGGAGGTGTCCCTGCCCATGGCAGGGGGGTGGATCCAGGTGGTCTTTAAGGTCCCTTCCTACACAACCCATTCGATGGGGTTCTATCATTCTATGAAAAGAACATAAAGAAAGTTTTGGCAGAAGAAGAGGAAAGAAGAAAGAAAGAACAGTGGCACTCAATACTGAAGCTATAGATGCTTGTAAAATAGCACCACTGGGAAAACACAGCCATGTAGAGACTATATAATAATCTCCACACCAGAGGTCCAGAGACTATATAATAACCTCCCCCCCAACTTTTTTTTTTTTTTAATAAAAAAATGTCTCCAACAAAACACCAGCTAGCATAAAGCTATTAAAGCCAGCAAGTAGTGTTCCATGTTCAGTTACAGGCTGCTACACCTGAAAAACACTTACGTTTGTATCAGGCCAAGACCCAGCACACACAGAAAACTCATTAAACAAATTTTACCTTGACTCAGCTTCAGCTGGTTGCCCTTTACTGTGGTCAACAACATGCATTTGAGGAACATCTGGAGCATACATCTGAACCTCAGCTCCCCCACGACTAAGGTGTACCAGTATGCTACAAAAACAGAGATAAAACGTGCTGAAAACCTTAGCAGAGAGGCTTTATCTGGCTCTTAAGTCTTGCTACAAATATCCCATCTGATTTTGACACACATCCCACCAACGCATACAGAACATGAAGCAGCAAAATCCCTCCACAAAACTGTACCAAAGTTCAGACCTGAAAGTCAGTGTGGAGGCAGTTAGGCAAGCTAGCGACAAGATATTTGTTCTGTGCTCCTGTGCAAGCAACCAGGTACAGTATGAACTTTTTCCTCATTCCAAGTCCCCAGCTGTTACAGTAGAGTCCCACCATTAACATATTTATGAATAAACTTAATCCAAGTCTAGGTGAAGCTTCTTTTAGTAACGAATACTAAGAGTTAGTAAGTTAACTTGAGTAATAATAATTAACAGTATTAAATTTAGCCCCAGGAATGAAAACTCATGTTGATTATTAAATGAAGCCTTTAATTATCTCTATTGAAATTGATTCTGGAACTCTGAATTTCTGTTTCTGAGGGAAAAACAGTGTCTCTCAAATTCACATCTCTGTCATTATATGCACTGTTCTGCATCTGGACAGTCACTGAGTACTGCAAGAATGCAGCCTGAGCTCCCAGTTATGCTGTGACAAAACCGCAGCTCCACACACCCATGACAGGACTCTGAAGGAAAACTATCATACATCTTTCTGTGCAAGTCTGACTCCAGAGAGCAGAACTGAATTCAACAGTGCTCTAATGAAAAGCAGACTTTTTTTTTTTTGAGCCTACAGTTTTGTAAAGCAACTTACGCTGAGGCCTCATGGATTTCTGTGCCATCGTAGACACCACAACCAGACAGGACCTGCAATAAGAAAACCAAGTAGGTATTTCAAGTGATACCAAAGTTCCTATAGGACCTTTCACAGGCCTTGTAGAATTTAAAAAGTGTAAAACCAACCTAAACAAAAACCCAACAACTTAGCAACAAGCTCTTTATTAAGCCAATCAACATCACACTATTAGCCCCGGCATTGCCACTTGACATACAGCAGAGCTGGCATTCCCTATTTATAGCTACCGACCGCAGACAGGGCTCAGAGATAACTAACATTTATGTGTGTTTGTTCCTCAGAGTTTATAAACTTGCATGATACCCTTAGATGTGTGTTTATCATGCATACAATGGGCAGTTTTCAGTGTTATATGTCTACTTATGAAGTGTCCTTATTGGTGTGAAACACATCCTCATCCCGATGCACATCGAAGACAAGTGTTAGAGAAGAACGCTTCAAGTGGTACTTATGATAAGCTATTTTACCTGCTGCATTTTGTCTGAGGATCCACATGATAGCTACATCATTTTAAATCTACTTATACTATGTTATTAACCATGCCTTATTACTATGCTAATAATTCAGCTTGCTTAGAGACACTGAAGAATGAAAAGCACAAAGCAATCAGCCATTATCCTACAGGTGGAGGGAGTCTTTCAGACAGTAAAGAAGGGGGAAAATGAAAAAAAAAAAAATGATAACAAGAACAGAAAATCCAAATGGTTCTCCAGTTCCTGAAAACACACATATGAACACTTGCGGGTTTGGGTTGTTTTTTTTAAGGGAAAAAAAAATCGAAATGAAAAGTATTCGTTTCCTCTCTTCCCTCCTGGTTTTATCTCGGTTTTTAGAAACTTGAGAGTTTCTAATAACAGATACGCGAACAGAAACCCAACCGACACTGTCTTATTTAGAGACACGGGACTTGCAGGGGCTTTCAGCTCACCGCGCCCAGCCCCCTGCTGCCACAGCGCCCTGACATCCCGGCGTTAACCAGATCGCTCCGTCAGTGCTTTTGTGTCCGTGAAACTACAATTCCACCGCTCTAACACTGACAAGGGCCCTTCCGCTTTCCGATTTTTGATTCTGTTTTCCATTTAGGGGCAAATAAACAAACCTAACACCGTCCGGGGAGTTTCACACCCCCCGACCCGTGCCCGACCACCCCAACCTCCTCCCACCCCCCAGCCCCTCTCCGCAGCCGCCTGACACCCCCCCCAACCCCTCCGGGCCGCCTCCCCGCTGCACAACCAACCTTTCACACCCCGGGGCCGGCATATTCCGAGGCCTGCCGCCCCCCCGGTACTCACCACGGCGACTCGGGCACCTCGGGGGCGCGGGGAGGAGCTGTGGAAGGCGGCGATGCCGGGGGGCGCCGCCCGGCACAGCGCAGCGCGGAATGGCGGCCCGCAGGCGGCCAACATGGCCGCGGGTGCGGGCTGCGGGCGGGCTGCGTGAGGCGAGCAGGGGCTGCGGGCTGCGGGCCGCGGAGCCCTCGGTAGTGGTGGTGGTGATGGCGATGGCGGTGGTGGCTCCCTCTGGAGGAGAGGAAGGGCTGTCCTAAGGGACGGAAGGAAAAAGGCACTTTAGGTTTAACCCTCGGTGCCGTGAGGCTCTGTCGCCGTCTCGCGGTTTCTCTCCTCCATGCCCGTCTTGGGAGCCCGGGTGGTCCTTGCCGCTGGAATAAAAAGGGGTGAAAGCTGAAGCACAACCACCCCACCACGCTGAAAGTAAAACAAGCATAAAAGTAAAAGCTCGAGGCTTGTTTTGAGCACATTGATCCTTCAGGTGAAACTGGCCGCAAGGTGCGTGCAGCCCAAGCACGCCAGTACAACGGCAGTAACAGGCTATCGAGACTGCAAACCTTATTAAAAATATCATTAACGAACCAACACGGAGCCATTTCTTCTCAGAAAGAGCAGTCAGGCATTGGAATGAGGTGCCCACGGAAATGGTGGAGTCACCGTCCCTGGGGGTGTTCAAGGAAACGCTGGACGTGGTGCTTAGGGACAGGGTTTAGAGGGTGACATCGGTGGCAGGGTGATGGATGGACCAGGTGATCTCAAAGGTCTTTTCCCACCTTAATGATTCTGTGATATAGAGCCAGCCTAAATTATTTCTTGGAGCTTCTAAAAGCTATAACCTATTTCATCTGAGAAGTAAAGTTGTATCACCAGCTCTAGGTATTCTTCTTTGACCATAAAAGAAACATTTAACATGCCAAGTTTCACCACTGCTCTCCACTCTTCCCCAGTTTCTTGTCCTGGTAAACAACAATCAGTGTTTTATAAAGCCTTTATTTATTTCTTTTTTGGTGGGTGATAGTTGTTTTTCTCTTTTATTAAGGAAACCACGCTACATGCAAGAGCAACATTCCTGTTGCAATACACATCAATATAAAATCAGTTGTAATTAAACCAAGATGTAAGTTTGCTAGCGTGGTCACAACTGGCAGCAGAAGGTAAGAAGAAGGCACTTCTCCAATGTCCAGCCCCACTCCACAGGGGCAAATTGGACAAAATCTGACCTACTTGCAAGTTGTGCGGACAGGCACAAGAGTCTGCCAAACTTCGGACCTACCAGACCTGAAGTTTCCGTTATTCTCCCTATTGATATGGAAGAACATATTGTAAAATTTTATTCTGTGATGTGCATCATAGAATTTGTCTGGAGACAAACACAAGTTTTGTGTTTTGTAATGCTTAGGAAGAACTGTTATGGACTTTAAAGATCGTCTAATTCCACCCCCCCTGCCACAGGCATGGACACCACCCACCAGAGCAGGTTGGCCGAGGCCCCATCCAGCCTGGCCTTGAGCACCTCCAGAGATGGGACATCCACTTCTCTTGGCAACCTGTGCCAGTGCCTCACTACCCTTATAATGAAGACTTTCCACCTAACATCTAGTTTAAGTCTATCCTCTTTTAGTTTAAGGTCATTCCCCTTTGTCCTACTATTATCTACCCCACTAGAGAGGCCTTCTCCACCTTCTTTGTAAAGCCCCTTTAGGTAAAGGTCAGAATGAGGTCTCCCTGGAGTCTTCTCTGCTCCAGGCTGAACAACCCCAGCTCTCAGCCTTTCTTCAAAGGAGAGGTGCCTCAGCCCTCTGAGCATCTTTGTAGCCCACCTCTGGGCTTGCTCTAACAGGTCCACATCTTTCTCGTGCAGTGTGTTCACCAACAAAGTCCTGTCAGCATATGGCTTGAAAGCAACACAAACATGGATATGGTTCTTTGCATTCAGAACTTCAGCGTCATTATTGAGCAATTCCTGTGCCAATTCACAAAGACAGAGAAAATTGAAGTTTCATATTTTTATGTTAATACAAACTTTTATATATTAAAAAAAAAAGACAAGAAAGGGCTTTTATGAGAAACATTTGTAACATTCTCTTATAATTTAAGTTACACTGAGTTGACAATTTCTAACCATATTTTTACTACAGTATAACAGATTAATTAAACTCCTACAGAAATTGTACAGCACAGTAACTTTGTTGCCATAATCATTATTAGGGGATATACCATTTATCCTTATTCTTGGAACTGCATCAGGTTTGTAAGTTACAGAAACAAGAAAAATGGGTACACTTAACACTGATCAAACAACACCACATGCATGTATTAAAAACCTTTTTTTTTTTTTTAAATGAAACAAGTTGGGTGCCATGTAGCCTTCCAGTTAAAAATGATATAAAAACATGGTCAAGAAAAGAGTCCACCTCAAAGTCTGAGGAGACTTCATTACAAATAATGCATGATACTTGATTTATATACAATGTGTTTTTAATAAAGAATCCATTTCTTGAAGCCATACTTCTAACTTCACTGATAAAAACACATTTTTGTCTTATCTGAAACCAGGAACAACAAAAAAAAAATAAAAAATCAATGCAGTCAAGCAAATCATTGGTGTTATGGCCAAAGGCTACACAAAGTATACCATGGATGGCATTTCATCCTAAATTTTCCCCATTCCTGTAACTCACACGTAACTCCTTTCACACTGTTTAAAAAGAGTTAAATTATGCCACTATGAGGGCCACTCAGTCTCAGTGAATACCACTGCATAAATTCACTTTGTCTTCAGTTTTCTCTCTCCCATGAAGAGTCATTAGGAACTTAAACTGTCTTTATGACCTTCTTGCATAAGATAATCACTATCAGACTCCGACTCTTCTTCATCTACTGATGTTTCTGCCAAACGTTTCATGCCTCGCTGTTGTGAAATGGCCAGCGCATATTTGATATTGTAGATATTCCATTCACAGCTGTAAAAATAAACAGGAACATGTTAGAAACCAGATTCCTTTTTCTCCTAAAGTATACCAATAAAGAAGACATGTTTGAAGGAAGACAGTCTTGAAACTTCAAATACTGAACTATCATCCTGCAGATTACTCCACACTGCAGGACTTGATTTAAACTGTTCAATTTAGCAATACGTACAGCTTGGAAACATCTTCAAAGTGACGCTGGATACTTTTCTGAAGGAACTGTATCACGGGCAGCAGCTTCTGTGACCTTAAAGGCAGAAAATACACAACTTGCAGTGCGATCTATAGTTCCATGTGGCAATCTGTTCTATATTCTCAAAATTTTAACAAGCATGCACGTTACCCTAATATGTTTGTATTTAAAAGTCAACATGAAACAAACAAAAGCTTTTTGCTTTTGATTGTGCCAATGATTATACTCAAAATTTATTGCCAATTTTTTTCTAATGTCCAGCTGCAACATGAAGAACTAGTTGTACTTCCTGTAATGACCACAGTTTCTTCCAAGTACTACAGTACTTTCCAAACAATTAGGAGTTTGTTTTAAACACTCTATTTCTGCAGACACAAAAGCATGAAGTTTGTTCTCATCATTTCAGTCAACCAGTACCAATGCTGAGGCAAAGATAAGAGTTAGACATTGCACTGTTATTTAAACCTGCAGGACTCTGTCTCAAATGACTCCTTACCTCTCACTTGCTACCAAACTCCTCATTTGCCTAGTTTTGTTCCAAGATGTCCATAAACTCTGGAGTAAAGGTAGGCTGAACATAATTCACAGGGCAGGCACACATAGTTGTGAGGAATAACGTAGGAAGGCAAAGCACAAATAAGCCACAGTGCATGCCTTAATTACAAGCTAGTCTATAAAATGCAGTCAGTACCTGCTCATTATCTTTCAGTTATATTTAACATTTATAAGAGTTTTAAAACACAGTTCAGAAGATCCCACTAACACTCTTCAAATCTTTATGCATGTACAAACCCTATCATGCGTTACAAATCTCATATACACTGGTTAGTAAAGTAGTTTCAAATATCGTGTATGCATCTATCCAGAATGCTAGTAATTGTTAATGGAAAGCCCTAAACTGACGAGTATTTTATAATGCTTGTCAGCTTTTTGACTTTCACAAGATCTCACCTTGTTTTTAACTTCTGTCCATGCAGCATGAGCAACTTATGAGCCCAAATAAGATAGAATTCTAAGTGACAAGATATCTCAAAGGCAGAGGCCAGGAACTCCAACACCTTCTCCACGTACAGGTCTGGGAGTGATGAGCAGACAACCTCAACTGTGCAAATAAGAAAACAAAGAGCAAACAAAACAAAACAAATATATACATACACACTAGTGTTGAATTACTATTTTATTTAGAATAACATGACAGAGACTAGAAGAAAGAATAAGGAGAAGGAGAAGAGAGCAGTGTCTGGGCAACTATTTGATATTTAATATTGTATTTCAGGGCACGGCCTCTGAGGTAGCACGTTGCTCCTCTTTTGGCCTTCCAATTGTTATTGTATTTAAAAGAAAGAAATCAGTTAACTTAAAATCTGTTTGGTTTGCATGAACACAGTCCTTGATAACGTGCATATTTTCATTAGTTTATGCTTTTCTCATATCATTGTGCACCTCTACATCTGGCTCTGCCTTCCTATATCCTGTTAGGCACTTTAAGACAGTAAAAATATCCTCCCTTGGCCTCCTCTCTTCCGAAGACTACACAAATGCAGTTCTCTCAGCTTCCCCTCAGCTGTCATGTTCTCTGACTCTCTAGTAACATCCCAAGCCCTCCACTGGATGCTCCAGAACATCAATATCTGTCTTGTACTGGAGAGCTCAGAACTGGACACCATAACATGGTCTCACAGAAGGACCAATCACTTCCCTCAAGATGCTGACTCCTTTCTTGATGCTACAGTCCAGTGTCCATTTGACCGTCTTCAGTCACAGAGGCATACTTGCTAAGCTCCTCTAACATCAAGCACATTCTGAGAAGTGACGTCCAAAAACATTACATGAATTTGGACCTGATCAAATTCCATGTTCAAAAGTCCCTAGGCGACCACGCAGTAGATTTGTTAAAAAAAATTAAAAAAAAACAGACCTTTTGGTGTTAACTTATGTTACAATTTTACCAAGATCATCCTTTCCTCTCTCACTGCCTTCAGCTACAGTAAAAAGACTCAAATCCTGGAATATTTTAACTTCTTTATTTCTTCCTCAGAGATGAACTTTGCCCTTTACACTTCACCTTATTTGGCTTACACA